TTTTAACATATTCTAAGTTAGAAAAACTGGATCTGAGCACTCCAAGTAGGATATGCAGACTTTAATTTGGAACCAACACATGACATAATATTTTGTCCACACAATGCGATCTTTGTCAAATATCTGACCAAAATGTTATCTCTTTTGTTGATTTCAAATTAAAGTCTGCATATCCTACTTGAAGTGGTCGGAGCCTATTTTTCTAACTTTGATACTTCCACTAGTATGCCGACATGTTCTTCCAAGCCACATCTTTCTATAATGGATATTTTTATATTCATCTATATTTGTTTACAATTGTCAGTTCTGTGCAGTGGATGAACCTGATGGGTAATGTAGGCTGATTTAAATGTTTTTATTTAAATAGATATTTTATTTTTCTGAAATGAATTGCCTAGGCTTTTTTCGAAGGCGCTTGTGACGTAGACATTTCATAATCTATTTATTAAAAAACAGAAATATTGTGTTTGCATTCCGACAGACAGCCCTGGCCACTTCCTTCTTAGCAATCACCGAGAGCCACACAGGAAGAGGAAGTAGAGGAGGGAGTCAGAGTGGGAACTCTGACTCCCATAAGCTGTAGCCAGCCACTGGACCCCAGGGAAGTCAACCTCCTGCACCTAAAAGGTAAGAAACAGGAGGGTGGCTAAAACATTTTGCATGTGTGTGTTTGTGTATGTGTGTCTGTATGTATTTGTCTCTGTATGTATTTGTCTCTGTATGTGTGTGTTTGTATGTATGTATGTATGTGTGTGTATGTATGTGTGCATGTATGTGTGTGTATGTGTGCGTGCGTGTGTATGTGTGTCTGTATGTATGTGTGCATGTATGTGTGTGTCTGTATGTATATGTGTGTCTGTGTGAATGTATGTGTGTGTGTCTCTGTAAGTTTATGTTTATGTATGTGTCTGCATGTGTATCTGTTTTTCTTTATTAATATTTTATTCACAAAATTAGAACGATTATTAGAGAAAGAAACAAAAAAATGGTGGGAGATCACATCATTAGAACAATATCTGAGTGCTAAAATTATACCTAGAGGTCTCAGAATTCTAATAGTCCCTGCCTTTGGAACAGGTGACCAAACATTATCAGATGAATGGAACATGGCAAGTGACGAATGTTCCTTTAAATATATGAGAAGCTTAATTGACTTCCAAAAAAGATCACTTAAGAAAATTGAAGAGGATATAAATGTTATTGAGATTGAAATAGAAAATAATCAAGATGATAAAAGGCTATTAGAGGAAAAATATAAACAATTGAAAGATAACATAAAAATATTAGATGAAAAAGTCTCAGATATTAAATCCTCTAAATATAGAAGAGATCAAGATGATTATAAAGCAGGTTGTCAAAAAGATTGGTCTAAATTAGATAATCAACATAAAGGTCATTCAAAAAATTCTTTTACACGTAGATCTTTTGACACTCGACAACATAATAGTACTTATACAAATAGTACTCCTTATACTAAACGTACTACATCTTTTAACCAATATCAAAAAAGCTCTCCATATGCTAAAACACCTTTTTCTCGTAATTCTACACGGACATATACACAACAGAAAGATTTTTTAGAGAAGGAGCCAGGCCAAAAAGAACATCGGGCGACATATACTATTCCCACACAAAACCGCTTCTCAAGTCTGAGATCTCCCATAAAAAAACGACCACATATAGAAGTAGAGGACCAGGGAGAAACATCATACCAGACTCTCCCACACAGACTACATTAAATAAAATGGAAGGCATCTTCAATTTATCAGGTGTTCCTTTAAATGAAAATCAATTGTCCTTGTTACATAAAGGCCTAAAATTCGCCCCGACAAGTACACCTAATTCATTTTAACTGTTTTTGGATAATCAAACTTTTCTTAAAAAATTGACAAGAACAAGATTCTTTGAAAGAATCAAATATGAAAACACTTTGAAAGAATATCCAATAAAAAATTTAGATTTGGAACAAAATATAGATAAGTCTATCAATTCGAATAAACCTATACAACATTCTAATTTAAAACCCAAATCGAATTTCTATCCATGGTCTGACTGAAATAAATATCTAGAGGTCTTTAATGAATCCGTATAGGAGGATTTTGATAAACTTATAGAAAAAAACAATAAAAAAAACAAATATTCACCTTGTAATTTAACTATAGGAGAAAGAAAGGCTCTTCAGCTATTACAGAAAGACCATGAGCTGGTTATTAAAGAGGCGGATAAAGGAGGTGGTACAGTAATTCTATCCAAATCTTATTATATGCAAGAAGCTTATAGAATTTTAAATGATGGGAATACTTATAAATATTTGGACAAAGATCCTACGGAATCCTTTCTAAAAGAATTAGACACTTTGTTAAATATTGGATTGGAAAATAACATAATCACCAAAGATGAATATAATTTTTTGTACAACCCACACTGTAAAATTGCTTGTTTTTATTTCTTACCCAAGATACACAAATCTATTTCACAACCACCAGGTCGCCCCATTATAAGTGGCATTGATTCACTTTCCTGTAATCTTTCGGCTTACATAGATTTCTTTTTACAACCATATGTGACTAAGATACCTTCATATATTAAAGATTCTAAACATCTTCTAAATGATTTACAATCAATAAAATGGAAATCAAACTACATTCTAGCTTCAGTAGATGTAGTTTCCCTTTATACTAATATCCCCCACCAAAAAGGTTTATGGGCAATGGGGGATTGGTTGCAACAACATTCCTCTATTGCGAAGAAACAGATTGACTTTCTGATTGATTGTATGTTTTTCGTTTTATCAAAAAAAAAATTTTGGTTTAACGATCAGTATTTTTTGCAGCTATGTGGTGTCGCCATGGGGACGAGGTTCGCCCCCAGCTTCGCCAATTTATATGTCTCCCATTGGGAATCTAGATGTATTTCTTTGGGTCAGACGCTGGGGGGGAGCCTCGTTCTATGGCGACGCTACATAGATGACGTGCTTATTATATGGGAAGGCGATCAAATAAGTTTGGACAATTTTATTTTATATATAAATAATAATGAATACAATTTAAGTTTCACCTCTACTTGTCATACTACTCAAATAGATTTTTTGGACTTAACCATCTATATAGAGAATAATATTCTGAAAACAAAAACTTTCTTTAAAAGTACTGACTGTAATACGGCCATAGAGCATTCAAGCTCACATCATCCTTCTTGGTTAAGAAATGTCCCTAAAGGACAATTAACCCGTTTGAGACGTAATTGTTCAGATGTAGATACTTTTAAAACTCAATCTAAAGTTATAAAACAAAGATATATCGAGAAGGGATATGATTTAAAAATGATTGAAGAAGCTGAAACATCTTTAGTTAATATAGATCGTAGCAAACTACTTACTTTAAAAGATAACAAAAACAAAAAGAAAAATGGAAATAAGTTTGATTTTGCTTTTGTAACAAAATACCATTCTCAAGCTCGAGAAATTCAAAGTATAATCAATCGTCACTGGCATATATTAAAGAAAGATACTTTTTTAAACAATATTCTACCAAAAAAAACCATTATAATTTTCAGAAAGGCAGATAATCTAAAGAATAAATTAGCTCCAAGTATTTTACCGACTCAAAAAATTATCCCTGCTCAACATACACATATTTTTTCTAATCAAATATTGAAAGGTTTTTTCCGATGTGGAAAGTGTTCTACATGTACGTTTCAAAAAAAGAGTACTAATATATTTACAGGTACTTATACCCAGCAGATCTATCAAATTAAAAAATTTATCCAATGCTCCACTACGCATGTGGTTTATCTACTCCAATGTGGTTGTGGAGCACAATACAATGGCCGTACCATTCGAAAACTGCACGTCAGATTATTGGAACACTTTCAAAATATAAAAAATAAAAAACTAGAACACAGTGTATCCAAACATTGTGCTCATTGTCCACTTTTCCAGTGGAATACTTTTATAGCAATTGGGATAGACAAAATAGATAAACATTGGAGAGGCGGAAATATAGAAATTTTATTAAATACAAAAGAAGCACAGTGGATTTTTAATTTAAAAACCTTAAAATTTGGTCTAAATCAAGAAATAGATCTAGTTGGATTGATTTAATATATTTTTATTTATTTTCATATTTATTCCTACTTTTATTCATTTATTTTTATTATTTATATTTATTTTCATTTTTATATTTATTTTTATTTTTATTTTCATATTCATTTTTATTATTTATTTATATATTTTTATATTTTCAGATTTATTTATTTTTTTCGATTGGTCCATACTTGATTACTAATATTTGTTTTCTATTTTAGAAATTTTCCCTCATAAAAAGAATTTTTCTTACATAATTTTTTCAATATATAAAGTTTAATAATATACACAATATGTCTGTTATTGATATTCTTTATACAAAGGGATATGTTTTTGTAAAGAGATGGATAGTAGCAACAAATGGATTTGATATTTTTATATATTTTTTATGTTTTTTATTTTATATTATTGCATATCTTTTATATTACTATATTATTCCAAACAATACGTTTTTTCCATTCTATTGTTAATAATATTGTATTTTGAAAATTTAAATTGATATAAATTAGACTGTGAGAAATATAAGAATATATATATATATATATATATATATATATATATTTCAATACTTATATTGTATATCATTAAGAACATCTACAATGTTAATACTTTTCATCTCTATGTTGATTATTGTACTACATTATATATTTAATTCTTTATATAACTCCAGTTCTTTTATTGGACTGTTGGGGAACTAATATATTAGTGAGGAGAGTGTTTTCAGCTGTAACTGATAGTGTCAGCTCAAGAATCGTTGTTTTACATCGGGTCCGTGAAACCGGAAGTGACGTCATGCGGAAGCAGAATGCGTTCCACAGTGGAACGCACGCCGACACCGGCGAAGGATTTACTAATTTATGGTGGATATAAAAGAGGATTTTTTCTTCCTATCAGCACCACATATCCCTGAGGAAGTCCCTAGACGGACGAAACGCGTTGGAACTTTTTATTCTACTTTTTATTCATTTATTTTATTGTTTATTTGTACTCTCCATTCTTTGCTGCTGTCTAATATCCTGTGCTGCCATTGGATCAGTTATTGCATGTGAATACCACCTGGAGTGGAGACACGCTGGTTTTAACTTGCAACATTGTAAGTGCTACTTATTTATAATAAATTGTTATATTTTGTACCATCTACACTATCTATTTTCTCTTTACTTGGAGTGAATGAAAAAATCTACTATAAGATCATCGCTGGAGGTCCTCCAGATTGCTACAGTTCCCTATTTTGGGAGATACGCCTGATTTCATCTAATTTTGTGAGTTCTCTACTATTTATGCTCCTATTTTGGACATAACAATATCACACTATATAGTTTTTATGTATTTTCAGATATATTCCTAAACAGAATATTTCCACATACCCAGTTGGTATATATTTATTATTCTGTGTCACTTTGGTGATTTATATTGCTTTGTACCTTTGGTTTTTTCTTCTTTTTTCACTATTGTGTTTTTAAGTGTTTGTAAGGGTACACTTTAAAACCTTGGGTACTTTCTTATTAGATAACACGTACAGTTAACTTTTTTCTTTTTCTGTTTTTCTTTGTCTGCATATGTGTCTATATGTGTATCTGTATATCTGCGTATCTGTATGTCAGTGTCTGCCCTATGTATCTGTATATGTGTCACTGTTTATATCTGTATGAGTGTCATTCTGTGTATCTAAATGTTTGTCATTAAGTGTCTGTGTATCTGCATGTGTGCAGTGTTTGTATCTGTAGGAGTTTCATTCTGTGTATCTGAATGTGTGTCATTCTGTGTGTTTGTGTATCTCCATGTATCTGTATGTATATATATATATATATATATATAGAAACATAGAAACATAGAATGTGACGGCAGATAAGAACCATTCGGCCCATCTAGTCTGCCCAATATATATATATATTTCTGTGCATCTGTGTCTTAGTTTGTGTGTCTGTGTATTTGCTTGTGTGACTGTGTGTATGTGTGTCTGTATCTGTATGTGTGTCTGTGTATCAGCATGTGTGTACGTGTATGTATCTGTATGTTATATGATGCCAGTGTCTGTGTAGCGGAATAAAGGACCTAACTACACTTTTATTCCCTTTTGTTCGGCTGTCCCTATCCCCCTCGTTCATGTGTGTCTGTATATGTATGCGTGTCTGTGTATCAGCATGTGTGTCCGTGTATGTATCTGTATGTTATATGTATGCCAGTGTCTGTGTAGCGGAATAGAGGAACTAACTACACTTTTATTCCTTTTTGTTCGGCTGTCCCTATCCCCCTTTTTCATTTACCAAACCAACTTTGTGTGGTCACCTTGTTCGCACCTTTTAATCACCAACCACCCCTGGCTGTTAACCACAAATTGATCGTTAGTGCAAGTGTTTTCCCTGTTTGTCTCCCGAACGTAAGCATCGTTATGGTCGTCGACAGCGTGGAACTATTTTCGGATATGCGACCCCGCGAACACCTGGGAAATTACTATCGCTGCCCATCCAACTTCCTGAACAGTTTTAATAATGGTGTTCGGGAGGCATGAACTACCGAACAGGGGGAGCATTCACTCCCTAACAGCCAGGTGATACATCCATCAGTGTTCATGCGAGAACCCCCGAAAGATGATCGGTTGTTGCCTTGTTTTCTCTGGAACTGTTTTGGGGCATCACCTCATTGCCAACTGGTCAAAGCTTTATTTGAATGGTGTTACTGAACCACCAAAGGGATGTGATCAATATTATGAGTGGGAGCTCAGATCCAAGCTATTCGGTGATGTGAATTTCATGGTGGAGGAAAACCCCTGAAATTTTGATGTGGACACCCCATGCTAGGGGTCAGTGCATAAAAGCCATTTGTGACCAAAATAAAATCAGTTGACTCCCAGAACTATGTGTCGTCTAGTTGCTGGGGGAAAGGGGTCTTGGATTACTACAGTCTTTCTTTCAGCTCCGAGGAAGGAATAGCGGAGATACCTATGCTGGGTATTGGAGCTCCACTACAGTGTGTTTGTCTGTTTTTCTGCATTTGTGTAACCATGCCTTACTCACAATAACAATCCTGTCACTCACCCATGCCATACTCACCTTCCATCACTCTGCCATATTCACCCTATAACACTCACCTTCTCTAGCACTGTCACACGCATTCTCCATCACTCTGTCACACCCTATCACATACTCATCCCCCAAACCGTGCCACACTCACCCTGTGGGGTGAATGAATAAAACACGTGGAGATTCTGGGGGCGGGAATGTGACACATGGAGGGGCGGGTGGAGACATATGGTATGGGGCCCCAGGGCAATTTTCGCAAGTTTCTACCTACGCCCCCTGTGTTTATAGTGATTGTTTTGTTTCTTTTTTTTACCTGTAAAATTCTAGATGTAATCTCGAATGTGACAAGCACATGAGCATTAAAATGAAATCAGTAAAAATGCACATCTGCCTGAAATATAACTTTAGAAATCAAAATGTTATAACTGCTTAGATAGCTTTTTAAGACACCGTAACACGAGACTGTTATTTCAACTCTCTATGAAATGGCAGATTGCTGCAGCTATGACCCTATTCCTATCGAGAGATGAAGGTCCATTCTATTGATTTGCTAATCCAATTATTATCCTATACTGCACTCCCTTGCTATTCAGCTCTCTCAGTCTCTAGAAGAAATGAGCATATAGCTATCCTTGTGGGGTGGGGGGGTCACTGGGTTCCCTAAATTGTACATGCTGAAATGTCACATGCTCTAAGCTCTATCTGCCAGTGTCTCTTATACTGTACAGAGAACAGATTTGCAGGAGAACCAAGGAGAGAAATGTCCCCTAATGGACTAGCTGCTCCTGGGAATTTGATTGGATGTTAACTCTTTTTTTTTTTGTGTCTGTCTTCTCTCACACTGCATGGCTACTACGGAAGAAAATGAAAGGATATATTCATCCCTTCTTGAAAAGAATTGTACTGGACTCTAAGCATCACCTATGCCTTGCTGTACAGTAAGTATGCAATGCAGCATACTCTAATATATTGATCACATGAGCAATGTGCATGCTTGTCTGTATTTTTGTTGTTGTTATAAACATTATTTAATTCTATTATTGAATCAATTAGTAATTAGTGCCGTACCTGCCAATCAGTACTAAATATGTCAGGCTACAAAAAAGACAAAAGAAAAGAAAAAAACTGGAAATTGATTTTCCCTTGAAGAATTCAGGCGACTTGTAAAATGTTACACATTTTCCAATAGAATACAATAAGCATTTTTTTTTTAACTGTATCCCAACAGGACATTGCCAAGAGTGTATTTTTATTTTTTTAAAGTGTGCAGACGGATGCGACCATGTGGGTTTTAAAAAACCACGGGAGTCTATTGTGTGATAAATGTGCAGCATAACTTGTAAGATCAGATACTGCATTGCACCTAATTTAGTTGCAAGGCTGGTGGAGAGTTTATTTTGCCTTTTTGCGGGTATTAATGTATTGCACGGGGACGATGTGAACAGATTGTTGCCTAACAAGAGGCAGAGAGTCAGAATGACAAAAAAGAAAAGAAAAAAAAATGTTCCTTCGTGATTTATGTTATTTGTTGTGCCGAACATGTGCTTCGGACTTAAGTATGCACTATAATAGACTTCAGAGAATTTCAGTTACATTAACCTAACTTTAACCATGGACGTAGCAAAATATTTATCCATCTATTTAATTATTCCACGAAGTCTAAAATTCAGTAATTTTAAAAATGTGTATTTTGAACTCTTGCTCAAAACAGAATTTCACACTCTTTTAATTGACTTGACGTCCCTTTTGTCACTGTCTCTGGACTCTTTAGAGATGAGATATTTATCCCTGAGTGTGATATAAATACGACTATTGCGATTTGTGAAATGATTTATTAATAATGCACCTCAAGGCAACCCACGTATTGTACTCTGGCAGTTTGCCATTGAATCTGAGAAACCCAGTGTTCTGAGTCATGCAATGATTTATTTAGGTTATTCCTAACAAAGATCCATGGGATGTAATACTTTATCTGTGTTATGCCATTATTACAGGGATTTTTACATTATAGGTAAGTCTGTGCACATTTTTTTTAGCATTATTTTATTAAGGCATAAACAGAGTGAAAGTAGTAGAACATTGTATGAAAACTCAAATAATATGCAACCAGTTGGATTAATTCTATGTTTGTCGTTGAAAAAAATGACAGTAAAGGGGGAGCTGTCACTACACGGGACCTTTAATATTACATAGTTACATAGTCACATAGCTGAAAAGAGACTTGCGTCCATCAAGTTTAGCCTTCCTCACATTTGTTTTTTTGCTGTTGATCCAAAAGAAGGCAAAAAACCCAGTTTGAAGCACAATTTTGCAACAAGCTAGGAAAAAAATTCCTTCTTGACCTCAGAATGGCAGTCAGATTTATCCTTGGATCAAGCAGTTATTACCCTACATTGAAAGATTATATCCTTGAATATTCTGTTTTTGCAAGTATGCATATAGTAGCTGTTTGAACATCTGTATGGACTCTGATAAAACCACTTCTTCAGGCAGAGAATTCCACATCCTTATTGTTCTTACAGTAAAAAAACCTTTCCTTTGCCTTTCGAAATCTTCTTTCTTTCAGTCTAAACGCATAACCTCGTGTCTTATGTATCGTCCTGTTTGTGAAAAGATTTCCACACAATGGTTTGTATTGGCCCCAAATATATTTGTATAATATTATCATATCCCCTCTCAGGCGATGTTTTTCTAAACTAAATAGGTTTAAATTTGTTAACCTTTCTTCATAGCTGATATGTTCCATTCCTTTTATACATTTTGTAGCGTGCCTCTGCACTTTTTCTAGTGCCATAATATCCTTCTTTAGAGCAGGTGCCCAAAATTGCATAGCATATTCAATATGTGGTCTTACCAGTGATTTATAAAGAGGCAAAATGATATTCTCGTCCCAAGAATGAATGCCCTTTTTCATGCATGACAATACCTTACTGGCCTTGGCCACTGCTGATTGACATTGCATATTGTTGCATAGTTTGCCTAGAATAATTCCCAAGTTCTTTTCATGTGTTTTATCCCTAATTCGCTTCCATTAAGGGTATACAGTTGCAAGAAAAAGTATGTGAACCCTTTGGAATGATATGGATTTCTGCACAAATTGGTCATAAAA